GGAAGAGGAGAACGAGAGGCGCTGCGAAAAGCTCAGTAGCCCCGGTCGAGCCTGCGCCTGAGCCGGAACCGCAACCGCAACCGCAACCACAGCAACAGCGTGCTACACGCTCAACACGAAAACACGACCAAGTCGAGACGGTGCCGTTGGAGAAGAAGCGGAGGAAAGGCAGGCCGAGTAACTCGAAGACCGATGCACTTCAACAAGAGCAGTCTCAACCGCAACCGCAATCGCAACCACGCAATGGCTTTGTGTCGCCAGAGCCGCAACAGTCCGGAACTGCTACTACAATTGCGCTGCCGTTGGCGGATACGCCAGTAATCCAGCGCAACAAGGAGATGCGGGGAAAGAAATCTGTGAAAGGGGGGAATCGACGGAGCAGTCTTGGGATGAGAGGACGGCGAGCCAGCTCGCTGATTGACTCGGGGGCGTCTAATGGTGGGCAATTCGTGTCATGAGTGTCTGATGAATGCTAACAGTGTTGCAGCATTACCGCACAAGAAGGTTGATACCGCAGATTTCTACAAGCATATCGCGGCTGATCTGCCGGAGCCTCGGAGGATGCGTCAGCTCCTGATATGGTGTGGCACGCGGGCAATGGGTGACAAGCCATCTGGGTCGCGCTCAGAGGACGAGAGCGCCCGTTTAGCCGGTACGTTCGATAATGAGGAAGTGTATGCATAAGCTAACAAATCCCAGCGCGAGTCATCCAGGAGGAGCTGCTGAAGGAGTTCTCCAGCAACTCGGAGCTTTCCAACTGGTTTGGAAGAGAGGATGCTATCCCTCCGACTCTGGTGGTCAAGAAGGAGAACCCAAAGAACATCCAAAACGCGGAGAAGATCCAGGAACTGGAAGAGCAAATACAAAGGTACGCAGTGTCTGATGGGCAGCAGCAGGCGGAAGCTAACAGCTACGTGTCAAGGCTGCAAAAAGAGCGACATGCTCTCAATGCACTCCTACGGCCAGCAGACATCCCTCGAATCAAGCCTGCACCAGCCGAACAACCCGAATCCGACTCCGTCCCATCATCACAACCATCACCGCCCGAACAAATCGACCTGTCTCTATTAGAACCGTCGCAACGAGAAATCTTTGCACAAATAAACCCCGAAGCCGCCAAACAACAACAACCAGACACTCAGCCCATGGAAACCGAGCCAGCAGCGCCCGAACCAAACCTCTTACCCCAAATGTCACCCTCTACCGTCTCCACCCGACTCTCTCGCATCACCAACTCACTCGCACCGACCCTCGACTCCCTCGCCGCTGGCATCCACGACATCGACCTCTACCGCACCATGTCCGATACAGTCTCGACCCGCATCCTCCGCATCTGCGCCGAGCGCCTCGACGAGCGCGACGCACGTCGTCGACTCGCGACAGCCGAATCCAGCGCCGACGAAACCAACAACCGTCAAGACCTCAGCCTCCGACCACGACCCCGAGAAGACCTCGGCGTGATTCTGGGGGCGTTAAGCCGGGTAGAGCGTCGCTCGACGTAGTCTCGGTACCAATCACATAGGATGACGCTTGTTACTATACATATCCATGAAAGGGAGGGAAGGGAGCGGTTCATTACAATCTGTTATGTCATGTATTTGCGGACTGGGCTGTGCAGGGCAGGGCAGGGACTAGCCTTGGCGTTTGATAAATTCTAATTTCGTTTTGGTTGGGCGTTAATTTTTTTTTTCTCTTCAGCAATGGAGTTGGGGTGTGTATGAATGGATGGATGGATGGAAGATGGATGGGGATAGGACAGGACAGGACATGGTCAGTAGGATGAATAAATAGTATACTACTCTCAGTACATTATCTGAGTGAAGCTCAATCCTTCAGATTTATCCAATTACATGTCCATAGAAAGTAGCAACAACAAGGGGAGTAAAATATCCAACACACAATACAACACGGATAATGGTCATAGATAATCCCACAAGACAGACAGACAGGTAGGTACTTTCCTGTAAGTGAACTACATATTACTATAGATAGTAAATAAAGTGCTGACTAGCATGCGCATAACACATGCACCTATTCTAGTCCAATCAAGTCTAGACTACTAAGTATGTAGAAGACTAGAATTGAATTACAAACCGGTTTCTATTCCTCTTTACGCTTATTGATTGGCGGATAGTGCTTAGTGCTTAGTGCTTATTTTAGATATATTGTTCATACCCTTGAAGTTTGGAAGATGTGCAGGGCGTGCAAATGATCTGCAGTGGCTAAGCAAAGGTACTGGGGATTACGCGTCCTCAGGGATGGTGGACTGGACTTGCAGTTCCAAGGTGGTGGATGAAATGCACATGAATGAATGAATGAATGAATAGAAACATGCTGAATTATCTAGAATGATGCATCATCATTCATGGATGATTAAGATGGTGGTGGTGGTGGTGGTGGTGGTGGTGGTGGTGGTTTATTTTTAGATACGTAGCATCATCATTTTATACATAACAGGCTTTTGAGGTGGTATGGTATGTTTCAGCCTGGATTGATGGATGGGGTTACTGTGTAAGGGAAGTGGCGATAGTAGAAGTAGTATGAAGTATGAAGTAACTTAAGATTGGCTCTCTGTGTAAGTATCATATTTAGTCTTAGAGTGTAAGTAAGTAAGGAAAGGGTTAAGTGTTGTGAAATAATTCCTTGTTATTTAGGTTGGAATGTGGGATTGTTTCTCTTTCGGTGCCAGGTACTAGTAAAAGAATGTTATAGAATTATAGAGTTATATAGAATAGAATAAGTACTGGGGATTATGTAGAATGAGGGGGAGCAGAACAAGGTATGATACCTATGATATGTCACTAGAATAGTAGCAAGGGGAAGAAGGGTCACCATATCACTCCGTAGTAGTAGTACTTAGTATCAACAGTTGAAGACTCTGAATCCGCACTACTATTATTTGCCATAAGACTTCAGATATATATTTACGAGTCACTACATACATGAATTGCGTCGATTAGTATGATGATGGCCAAATTACTTCTTGACTTTTATATATATATATATATATTGTTTCGATCTTATTGATGACTGATCTCATCACTAGAAGCCAGCATATAGATTCATTCATAGAATAAAGATGCTGATAGACATTAGTATCTTGAGTACTAGTATCTTGATAACCTACTTATCTAGTAAACTACAAGTGGTTCTATAAAGAACTTCTACCTTTGGTACTACTAGTAGTAATTAATGTAATTGATGGTTATTATTCATATATTAATGAGTTTATCCAAGTATTGATGACCTACTCAACTCATTTATAGTCTAGTTGACAAACCTACCCGTTCTCAAACAGCTCACTACCCACGTACCTAAATAGCAAACGATCAAGTGACTGCAGATCAAAACACCTCGTATTCTTCTAGAACTAATGAACTACCCACCGATCAACATAGGTAATCATGGACGTTTTCGTTGGGCAGCAATCAATTCTGTCCCCTTCCCCTTTTATTTCCCGAAAGGTTGTTTTGGTCGTTATCAGAGAAAGAAAGAAAAGACGCGAGGCAGAGTGGGGAAGGGAGATGATCGACTAGCGGCAATGACGAGGTTCCGATAGTTTCGGCTAGGTACAGTGGTTGCTGGAGTAGCGTGGCTTAGTTTCTTAGGTTTCAGGTTCTGCCGGTTAGATAGGGGATGAGTATCCAGCATCAGTAGTGTATATTGTGGAGAGAATAGATATGGTCATGTGGTTGTATCTGGTGCTGTAACCTGGTATGGTTTAGCTAGGAGCTAGACAATGTTAGGTGATTGGGTGCGTACATGATGTGATGTGTTGATCATGAAGATTTAAGAGATCAGTAGTTAATACTATGTCTCATTATTAGCTTATTTGTCGTGTGATGATCAGGAAATAATTGTAAGTTCTTGTGTGATGGAGAGTCCGACGCACGGATGCCAAGCTAGGAGATACAAACCTTGTGTTATTTTGGTGTTTGGTGTGTGTGCATGTGTTTCTAAATGCAGTTATCTCTGGCGACTCCTGATGAATTGCGTTATCCTCTGGTAGCACTTGCTGCTGGCTCTGATTTGTACTGGATAAAGTTCAAGTTGTACACGCTGCATATTATGCGGGGTTCTGATCAGCATCTGCTGAGAGGTACTGTTAGCCAGTCGGCACATTTTTCAAGTAATATGAAAGTGCCCAATCAAAGTACTTGGAGAATGGATCCATGTGAACGCGACTGTTATCAGCGGCGAGGCTCAAGGCCTAGACCTGGAATAGTCATCTTCAACGACAGCTTGATCCCCCGGAAGTCTGCGGAGAAGCACCTCGTGTCTGATGTCAATATAGACCAGCTGACAGCATCATGACCGATCGGTCTAGACAGTCACTGGAAGAAGCATCGAAGGTTCATGTAAGGACTGGATGGATGGGTGGAGCCCAGTCAGCCAGCAAGATGGTAGCTCGACGCTGGCCTGGACTGCTAAGGTTCCAATATATAACCTTTCCGGTGCTCCAGGCATCCTCGCCAAGTACCTGGCTGTGGCAACAGCAGCATCAATTGGACTTGACGTGTGAGTCATTGAGTCATCGCTCATTGCATTGAGATATTTTCTTCTTGTCTGAGGAAGTTTGACTGCTGCTGTTGTGCCACGCGGATTGATCAGGTGGCTTGTTGCTGCAGCCGCAGATGGCCAACTGCGCGATCAGGAGAAAGGCTCCGGGGAGCATTCCAGGCCATTGAGGAACATAAACCGGCCAGACAAGAATGAGAGAAAATGTCTGACAGTCAAGTAAAGGTACAAAAGTACATCGGGCCAGGCGGGTTCAACTGTCAAATAAGCTCTGCCCCACCCCTGACAAGGCCCGGAAAGAGTTGAACCAAGGAGCCTTCTCGCCCGAGCCACCGGTGGCTGATCTACGGGCGCTGACAGTCAGCGCTCGTGGATGATGCCGGGTGTCTACCATGCCCGATTACATTCATTGTGCTACTCTGCACTGAAGAATGTGAATGCCATTATTGCACAGATCCCCAAGCGATGGCCCGTCAGCATACATGTGCATCCGCCGGCTCGGCAGCCTCCCCTCCCCGGTGCCACTGGTAGGACCGACAGCCATGGTGTGTAATGTTGTCGCACTCCCGATTGCAGAATTAAGTATTGGTCCCTGCGTTTGTGCAGGAGTCACAGGCATCCTCGGCAGTTCTTGCCAGAGTGGCACAGTTGGCACAGTTGGGAGCTGAACCATCTTGCATTTGGGGAAAAATTTTGCGTTACCGTGAAAGCTGAGGAATTGTCCAGGATAGAGCGGGGTGTACGAGGCGTCTGCTGGAGCTATGTCAATGACTAGACGACCACATGAAGAACATCAATTCTGCATCACGATGAAAGAGGGTGGTGATCTAACCACTCTGGAGTACAGAAGAATTGAGCTGAGCTCAAAGAGCCCATCGTGTAACCCCATCCCCATCCACTCCTCTTTCCTGGAAGAGCCCTTGACATTATGGGAAGGTGAGTGATACAACCAAGCTGTGTCGGGAGCAGAGTCGAGCACAGGAGTGAAGAATTCAAGTACTTTGGACGATGCCGACTTGTGTAAGGCGGGGAGACGGGATTCATATTCAGTTCATCGTCAGTTTCGAGAGTCTAGGCATGTCTTTGTCCTTACTGTGCAGGGTAAAAGGTCTACAAAAGTGAGTTTCTAATTATACCTGCCAATTTCTGTTCTGCCTTGCTGTCTGATGCAGGCCAGGCAGACAAATATGGCAGTGGGGCGGTCGCATTAGCTCTGCGCATCACCGCGAAGATCATGGAGCCGGCGGATCTGCTGTGACGACGACACAGCGAGTGAGCGATTCGGGGAATGTGGATCGGCGACATTACCACCGCCATGCCGTCTGAGAGGGAACGCCCATCAGCCCAAGTAAGGAGCTGAAACGACCTACGGAGTACTTAGTTTCAACGTCCCAAGTATCACTCTTTCGATGATGATTCGTTTGCCTTGAGAGGTCCCGGTTTTGCTCCGGAGTTTCTTTGCTGCCTGGAGGTCATGTTCCATAGCGACCTCATAGATAGCATCGTCAAGTAGTGTAGTACGCTATCGAAAGTCCGTCGAGTCTAGAGGAGAGGAGACAAACAGGAGTTTTCAGCTACAGACGACCGCCATGGGACTAGATGGAGGGAGACAACAGTAGAATTCTCACAGGGGATTGCCACCTGTGTATCGGCACGGCTTAATTGGGCGATCGGAGTCGAAGGAGGGGGAAAGAAGTCGAAAGACAAGTAAGTGCACGGAGCAACAACAGCCTGAGGGGGGCAACACAACTCCCAATAAATGGACTTGGTTCGGCGAAGATCAGAAACTGCCATCCCCTGTGTGGATCAGCAGGGACCTTCTTGGGACTAGGAGGGGGGTTGTTACCAAGGCAGCCGGCCATACTATTCAGTAGTAGTCTGCAGTAGTGCCCAGAGGAAGAAAAGAAAAGGGAGGAATGGAAATGCAGGAAGACAGATGGAGATGGAGAACGAAGGAACTGGAAAGCAAAGAAAAGGAAAGCGAAGGAAAAATGGTGGGTGGGCTAGATTAAACATACAGACAGTGTACATAGTGTACATACAGTACATACAGTACATACAGTACAGGCAGGCAGGCAGGCAGTCAGTCAGTCAGTCAGTGACTGATGCATCCACCCATCCATCCATCTCCCAACACCCACTCTGGCTTCCCTTCCTCCATCCAATCCCAACCTCACCTTTCTCCTTTCCTCCTCGCCTCCCTTTCTCCATTCCTTTCCATCCATCTCACCCCTCTGACACAATCCACCCACCCATGTGATGGATTCCAATGATCCCCCCCCCGAAGCTTCGTAATCCAGCAACTTGGCTGCACCGCCGACCCACCCACGCTGCTCGAGAAACGTCCAAGACTTGCTGTTCTCTGTGAGTCGAGGATGAAATTGATCCATCGTCATCGCCATGATTAATGTCATTCCCGATCGATAGGTATTTCATGCACCGCACAAATCAGAGTACGGAATGCACCTCCCTGCAAGCGTCTTCATCCACACCATGTCTGGCGGACCTCAAACTATCGGTCTTCCAGTCTGCAATGATCGGGTAGCCGACAGGCGCCCTGGAACGAGTTGGCAAACTAGACCCATGGCTTATGGCTTGCTCCCGGAGTAGCCGCCACGGGTTCAACAGTCATAACATAGATAGCCAGTCCAGCCTTTTCAGAGGGTCGGACTTTCGGTTTGGGGTCCGCGATCCGGTTCGGGCGCTAAAGTGGGTGATAAACCTGGGTTCCTTCTTCCGGACCCAGCCACGGTCCCACTCGGGGCTTTGAGAGAACCTGAAAAAAGAAAACAAGGGAATGAGCTTGACCTGACGCGAGCAATTGCATTCATCAAGCTTTTCCCGCCCAGTACTGCCCGCGGTAACCCATGGATCTTCCCCTTCCCTCAATGGTTCCAGAAGGCCCAGCCCAGACCTTCCAGGCACTTCAAGTTTTCCAGTCGGGCGGTGGAGTCTCCCCCCGATTGACAGGCCTCCACTTTCAGAGACAGAAAAACAAATACCAGGAGAATTATGTATTCAGCAAACAGGAAAAACACAAATAAAAACAGCAATGACATCCACCACCACATAGATACCTTACGTGGATCATACCGAGTAAGTAAGCATGGACTTAACAGCTGCAACAGAAAAACAACAAAATCAATAGAAAGAGACACTATCACCGAGTTCTGTCTGGCAACAAGCCCAACACCATAAAACTACCACCACCAATAACCACCCGGAGCAATGGAAACTACTATCAGAACCCAAGCACTCTGACGGGCTGCTATGGGTCCTGTGTTTCCAGTGGCTTCCTGCTGCAATCCCTTTATCCGGTCTCCATCTAGGCCAAGGTGGCTTCCCCCTTGGGCCAAGTGGTACCGCATCGTGGAGCCCGTGGAACCGGTTCCGTCGATAATGCTGCCCGCATCTAAGATAGTAGCAGTAGGAAAGAAAAAAAAAATAATAATCTCACTGCTCGCTCGCCGATGTCTGAGCGCCACTCAATCATATCGGGGGCTAGGTGTCCACTATTCTCCTCCTGCCCTCCTGATCATGCTCATGAAGCAGCTTGGATTGAAAGCCATGTGTCTGGCTTGATGGGCTCAGCTGGTGAGCACTAATAGCACTTCGGACACATACAATCCAGTGTATCTTATCGAAACCCGCTGAAAGAAGAGTGGGCATTTGACTTTGGATTATTTATAAGTAAGACCTTGTCCGTGTCTAGCCCTCTGGGGGTCTCTGTGATCCATCCACTCAGCTTCGTCACGGTTTCAACTCTTCCGGCCAAGGCAGTGATTCGACTACTCCCAGGTGGCAACCACGCCTTGGGCACCCGAAGCAGCGTCTGATACAAAACTTCCCCTTCCCCCTACTCTCTTTGAGATCACCATCCCCTGCCCTGCCACCCCCGATGTCAGGCACAGACGCCCCGATCTTTTAACCCCGAATTGACAATTCATTTTTATCATATTATCCCGCAAACTCTCGTCCGCTACACAAGGCCAAGGATAGGTCGCGCACATCCACTCTCTTCATATGACCATCGTGGTGCTTGGAGCTCCGTGATTGGTCCTGTCCGTCTCTAACCCGTGTTCACATTTCCCAGATTCGGCTGCTTTCGTCCAGCGGTGCACTTCTCTTGAGCTCGTTCTCTTATCTCTCTCTCCATCATCACCTGCCGGCCCCCTTCATCCTCGTCCCTCAGGTAGGAGACCGAGTATAAGCTCCCCTCCTTTTTCGCAATCTTTCCCGGTGGCCCTCGTCACTCCTATTTCCCCTTCGATCCGACGGAGGAATTCTTTCTTTTTCAGGCTGTATCAATATTGGGCTATGTACCCGTGACGTACTTTCATTCCTTGTGGCGGGCCCTTTATCCCTTTCAACCGACCTCTGTGACTTCTCTTGCTCCAAGTTCACGTTGGTGAGAAGAAGAGGAAAAAGAAAAAGTATCACCATTCTTATCTGTGTCCGTCATTCCTTGACCTTGGCTCAAAATTTGCGAGGTGCGTTTTGTGACCAACCACATCTCATGATAATGATGCAAGTTACATATTGACGCGGTTGCTAGGCTGCTGGAACAAGTTTCGCACATCAAAACCCCTTGGACAACATTAGGCTGCAATCTCAAGTGACTCTCTCTTTTTCTCGGTGTTGGGATTGTTCAGGGAAATCTAAAATATTGGAAGAGAAAAAAAAGTATTGGAAGGAGAGCTATCATATCGGGGCGAGAACAAAGCAGAGGTAACACAAAACGGACTGCAGATTCCGTGAGTTGAGCACCAAGCTTCCGCCAGTCACGTAAAGCAATTAAAAATGGCTGGCGGCTATTTTGATCTGCCCATATCCTCCACCTCCAGGCGTTCGAGCCTTACTGATGTATCTGGAGGAGCAAGCAGATCATCCCCAGGGCCGCGTGTCCTGACCCCCCTACCGACCCCCAATGAGAGCTCGCAGGAGAGGTTGCCGGATCCAAGCGGAGCTCAGGGCAGTCTGAGGAATGCAACAATCCCCAGGAGCGCGAATCGGGTCAAATTCACGGTCAGCGAAGCTGGTCTTGGCACCAGTCCTTCCGGGTCGACGTCAGCGGCCCGGTTTGTTGGAAGGGGGTCGTCGCTACCGCAAAGACCATTGCCCACTGCCAGCATTCCATCAGCAGTTAAGGCTTCTCCTGACCCCCAATCAGTGCCTTTGATCGATATCAGCCCCAGTCCAAAAGTAGGTGTCACGGGCCTCACGGTCCACTCAGCACCCAGTTCCACGGGTGCCACTGGCGATGATGATGAGGTCAGTAATGAGAAGGGGAGGGCGATTCATTCAGCACATGAGAGAGCCCAACGGCTGGCATCCGTGCTGCACCAATCCTCTAAAACTCCGAAGTCCAGTCCTTGGCCAAGTCGACCGTCCTCCATCGCATCTACTCCTTCAGAGGCGGCGCTACCCTTTGAGGATGGAGATGAGATTCCCATGATAAGTCTTTCCGAAAAGCAATTTGGCGATTTTTCAGACGACGATGACCTGGGCCCACTGAACGGCCGACAATCAATCCGAACTTCTCAAGCCCACCAACTAGTCAGACAAATGACTCGAAGCGATCTTGATTTTTTGAGCCGGCTCCAAGCCCCCTCGGCAGGGCTGGAGTCCGGACAAGTCACTCCTCTTGAAGAAAGGGACCCTGACGCCTATGTCGAACGACCGACACATTACCGCGGCGGCATCCTCTCCTCTTTACTCAAACTTTATGATCAACCCGGTAGCCACTATTCGCGGGGCCGGAATGCCAGCTTGCGCCGGAGCAGCACGGGAGAGTTCAGTAGTCGAGGGTTATCCCCAGACCCTACCTGGAAGTCTCAACGGCCCAGGAAGTGGTATGAAAAATCACCTAACCAGTCGAGCACTTCGCTGGCTGGCTCGACGGCCAAGAACTCTACGAGCTCTCCAATCGCGATGCTCAAGCGCTCGCGTAGCAGTGGAGCCATTCCAAACGTACCAAAGCGGATGGGCAAGCCGCAGCTCGAGGATGAGATTCGTATCACGGTCCAGATAGCCGAACTTCTCTCCCGTCAGGGATATCTCATCCGGCTTTGCCGGGCTTTGATGAAGTACGGTGCTCCTACCCACCGAATGGAGGAATATATGAAGATGACGGCTCGCGTCTTGGAAGTTGATGGCCAGTTTCTATACATACCTGGCTGCATGATTATCTCGTTTGATGATGCTTCTACCCACACCACCGAGGTTAGATTAGTCCGAAGTCCCCAGGGGGTTGATCTGGGCCGACTCTGCGATGTGCATCTGATTTACAAGGAGGTGATTCATGGTGTGATTGGAGTTGAAGAGGCCATTCAACGGTTGGACGAGATCCTGAAGCAGAAGAACAAGTACCCAGTGCCACTTGTTATTCTTATTTACGGATGTGCCAGCGCCTGCGTCGGTCCTTTCGCGTTCAACGCACGACCCATTGATATGCCAATTGCCTTTTTGCTCGGATGTCTTTTAGGAACCCTCCAGCTCGTACTTTCGCCACGTTCAAATCTTTACGCCAATGTTTTTGAGATCTCCGCAGCAGTCCTAACTTCGTTCTTGGCCCGGGCTTTTGGCAGCATCCGCTATGGAGATGGGCGGCTTTTCTGCTTTTCTGCTTTAGCTCAATCTTCGATTGCACTGATCCTGCCTGGATACATGGTGTTGTGCGCGAGTCTGGAGTTGCAATCGCGCAGCATTGTTGCCGGGTCTGTCCGCATGGTCTATGCCATCATCTACTCCCTCTTCCTCGGGTTCGGAATCACGATCGGAACCGCAGTCTACGGACTATTGGATGGTGATGCATCTTCGGACTACACATGCCCACCGAGTCCCATCACCAATGAATATCTTCAGCATTTTCCTTTTGCGGTCCTCTTCACCTTCTGCCTCGCAATCATCAACCAAGCGAAGTGGAAGCAGATCCCCATGATGTTGATTATCTCCTTCGCAGGATACGTGACGAATTACTTTGGCACCAAGAGGTTTTATTCCAGCACTCAAATATCCGGTGCGTTGGGTGCATTCGTCATCGGGGTCATGGGAAACCTTTACAGTCGGCTACGACACGGATTTGCGGCTGCTGCGATGCTGCCCGCCATCTTCGTTTTGGTCCCGTCCGGTCTCGCTGCCAGCGGGTCACTCATTTCAGGCATTGCGGCAGCGGAACAGATCACCACGTCGACCTCTCCTTTCGCTGTCGTCTCCAACGGGACACAGGGCTTCGTGGACGCAGCAAAGAATCTATCGAGCCCAAATTTCGATCGCGAGTTCCACGGTGTCGTTCTCGACATCGGTTACGGAATGATCCAGGTAGCAGTCGGCTTCACTGTGGGCCTATTCCTGGCTGCCTTGGTTGTTTATCCGCTTGGAAAGAAGCGAAGTGGACTCTTCAGCTTTTAGATGACGTGCCTCGATCACATTCCTCTCTCTCTCTCTCTCTCTCTCTCTCTCTCTCTCTTCTACACTCGCGTCTTGATTGTCTTTTGTGCTGTGTCTGATGGAGCGAATTGTCGTGTTTTTAGCGTGATTTATATTGGTCCCTTCACTTTAGTTTGATTTCTATCTGGTGTCAAAGTCCTTCTTTTCTCGGAATTTCCTCACTATTTGGGCTCGATCTTGCTATTCATGCATATATATCCGTCATTTCTCATCCGGTTACTCTCCTTGTCTGTTCGGGTTTGATTCTTTTGATAGGATTGCAAGCGTTCCCTGCGTATATTTGTTGTGCTTTGCCATCCACACAGGCATGTGTCGATTCTTTTCTCTCTCTTGGTTTGCACCAATTATTCCTTCTCCTTTTTTGTCTTCTTCTCTTTTCTGCGTCTACAAAAGCAAAGCTACGGCGGTTCGGGTCACATGTTACAACATCTTTGGTGGGATACTAATCTTTTTGCACTGATCTGCTCCTGGTACATGCAAGTTGAGTTGATCGATATATTATACTGCGTTACTGACTTACATCTACTGCCACCACCAAAGCTAGCCCTACGACGGCTTATTACTAGATAGAAGATACGATACCACGAATAATGATCAACTACGAACAATACCTCGCATAGAAACCAGTCCCTCTTTGGTATAGCTTAGTCCTATCCCCTCCTTCTATAAGCCTCTACTTAGCAACGAGAACATAATTCATCTCCAGTATAATATGCCACCGTAAAACTGGGTTAGTTGTATTGTGAGGTAGTTACACCGCCCCCTCCCTCAAAGAAAGGCCCTCTACTCAATTATCATCATGCAACCCACGTACTCGAAACCACCTTTTTCATGATATCTTAATCATAATAATAACAATCATCATCATCATCATCATCATCATCATCATCATCATAATCTTTTCAACCCTTGCGGCCAGCCTTATTCCTCGGCCTCGCACTCCGCCACTCGCACGCAATATCAGTTTCAAAATTCCTCCCTCCGCTCCGTCTCTCCTTCTCCTTCTCCTCCTCCTCACCCTCGCGCCCTCTCTTAGTGAATCAATAGCCTAGCAGAGCAGATTTAGCCATAGCTGCAGTATATCTTCAGAACCTTCCCCCTTCCTGCTTTCCCATTCCGTTCTTTCATCTTCCCCCTTTCCCGCCCTCTCTCTCTCTTTCTATATATTTTCCATGTTCTTGTTAGATGTTACCTCATCAGCTTATAGTATGTAATAGATGACAAAACTGATGAATGAACAAGTTACTAAATGATAGCAGGTATTTACTACCAGTGACAGTTGGAAGGGGCGGTGAAAGAGTACAAATACTGTCGATATGTAGATTTGCATTAAGAGCAGAGTAGTAGTAAAAGCCAAGGTCCACTTAAGCATATAGGTAGCAGTAGCCCTCTAGCATTCAGTATCCAGTAGTGTCCAAACTCTGGTCGAAAAACAACAAAAAAGAAAGAAAGAGCATACATAACCAGATGTATGTACGTACAAAAGTATCCCCATCCCCAGATGGACCAGTGCTAGGAAAGGAAAGTTAAAAGGGAGTAGTAATGGGACGAGTCAAGCACGGTCTATTACCAATTCCAGCAGATTCTTGCGATTGGAAGAATCGAAAAGACACCAGTTCAAGTGGGCAGGGAGAATAACAAACAGATAAG